GAGCTCCTTCTATGACAAGGAGACCCACTAAGTGGATGGAGAAGGGAAGTTTGCTGTGGATGTTGTGAACCTGGACTTCAGGAAAGCCCTTGACACAGTTTTGCACATCCTTCTCCTGGAGAAGCTGCTGCTCGTGGCTCTCATGGACGTAGTCTTCAGTGCTCAAGAACTGTCTGGATGGCTGTGCCTATAGGGTTGTAGTGAATGGAGGTAAATTCAGGTTGTTGCTGGTCACCAGTGGTGTTCCCCAGGCATGAGTACTGGGTCCAGTTCTTTTTAGTATCTTTACCAACGATCTGGACTAGGGGATTGATTGCACACTCAGTAAGTTGGGAGAGGACACCAAGGCGAGTGGGTGTGTTGGTCTGCTTGAGGGTAGAATGGATGAGTGGATCACGGGCAATGGTATGAGGATCAGAAAGGCTCAGTGGTGGGTTCTGCACTTGGGTCACAACAACCCCAAGAACAGTACAGGCTTGCGGAAGAGTAGCCTCAAAGCTGCCCAGGGATGCGACTGAGTCACTTAGTCCCAGTCTCTGGAGGAATGGAGAAAGGAATAGGCTTGACCCTGAGGGACTCAGTGTAGTGGTGCACTTCTTAGTGTCAGATGAATAGTTGGAGTGGTTCTTAAGTGTTGTCCCAACTCAAGGATTCTGGGAGATTATGAAGGCCATGGAGGTAGAGGAGCGGGTTGAGTGCAGGGCCACCAAGATTGTGAAGAGAAGGAAGCCTCCTTCGTCTGAGGAGAAGCTGAGAGAGCTGGGAGGTTTTTCAGCCAGAACGCGAAGTTGCGTGGGGGAGATGTCATCAATATCTCTGAATCCTGGTTGGGAGGTGTCGTGGTTCGTACCCCTCTGGCAACTAGGTGCAGGCAGCCGGTCGCTCAGTCCCGCTACGATGGGATGAGAAATAGATTCCGAGTAAAAGTGAGAACATTTGTGGGTTGAGATAATAAAGACAGAGTAATAACGAAAGAAAGAGCTGTGCACACAAGCAAAGGAAACCAAGGAACTCCTTCACTATTTCCAATCATGCGGCAGGTGTTCAGCCATCTCCAGGGAAGCAGGGCTTCTTCACATTTTGTGTTTCCTTTGGAAGACCAACATCATGAACAGAAACGTCCTCCGACTTCTTTCTCTTTCCCCAGCTTTCTATCTGGAGCATGAGGTCGTATGGCATGGCCTATCCCTTTGGTTATTTGAGGTCATCTTTCCCATCCGAGTCACGTCCCACCTTTATTTGCCTCCCAGCCTACTTGGTATTGGGGTGGTGTGAGGAGCAGGAAATATCTTGAGGGCTTACCAACAACCAGAAGGATTGATGGGCTGTCAAGGGCATTGTCATCCCAAATCCAAAACCCAGCACCCTACCAGCTGCAAGTAAGAAAGTCATCTCCATCCCAGCTGAAACCATATCTGGAGGGAATGAGGAGAGAGGAGTCAGAGTCTTCTCATGGGTTCTCAAGACCAGGGCGATAAGAGAAAGCCAAAAGACATGCAGTTTCCTTGGAAGAGAAGGCAACCCTTTTGAATTGTGAGCGTGCTCACAGTGTGGAACAGGTTCTGGGGACAGGTGTTGGAGACTCCATCCTTGGAGATAGTGAACACCTGACTGGATGTGATTATGGAGAGACTGCTGTTCTGAGCCTCTGCTTTGAGAAAAAAGCAACTGAAAGAATCTAAGGTTTGGATGCAGGAGAAATTTATTGAGAGAACAGAGTGTAAAGGCAGGAATGCCAAGTGGAAGGGAGCCGGTCTGAGTTGGAGGTAGGGTGAGCAAGAGCCCTCCTGTGAGATAGATGTTGCCGGAGTGTTGAGGTTTTCTAGCCCCACATTGGGAGGTGACCAGTGGTGGTCCCTGGTGGGCTTTGCCTTGTCAGGAAGTGGTTGCAGTGGAGAGCAGTGAATATAGGTGAAGGGTTGCTGGAAAGAAGGAGGTGGGAGAAGAGGAGTAGGTCCATGGTCCGTGTTTCCAGACACTGCGGGCAGGCCGGCCCCTTCGGTGCTTCCTTGCTGGGTACCTTGAGAGGAAGAGCCCTGGAGAAGAAACCCATGTGCCAGAAAAGGCGGGAGGTGCATTGTCAATCCGTGCCGTGGATTCCATGGTGGGAGTGGTTGGTGTCAGAGGTTGTGGGCGATGTCCTTAGCAGATGTTGCAGCCTCTTCCGCCATAGCATCCACCCAGGCCTCCCAAGCCGTAGCCAAAGCCGTAGCCAAAGCCACCGGAGGAGACGGGCACTCCCTGGGCGCTGAGTTCGTTGCCCACGGCAGCCGATGCGGAGGATCCGACGAAGGTGCTCTGGGGGTGGGAGGTGAGGATGGGTCCTGGCAGGGTGACCTGCACGGCGGGAGGCTGGATGACGACGCGGGAGGCCTCACACTGCCTGACACAGGGCTCGTTGCAGCTGTTGGCCAGCGGGGTGGGTCCGCAGGGGCGGCAGAGGTCGTAGCAGGCCATGTGTGTGGTGTGGAGGGTCCCTGGAAGAGAGGGTGTTGAGGAAGGGGAGGGTGGTGGAGGAGAGGGGCGGTGTGGGTGAGGAGAAGGAGGGTGAGGGGGTTGAGGCTCACCTTGTTGAGGGTGGAGGAGAAGGCGTGAGGAGAAGTGTGTGAGGGAGAGAGGCGCTGGGCCGGCTTTTATGCTGGTCCGCGAGGGGCGGGACAGGCTTTGCGCATGTCCACGTTTGGCAGCAATCAGCTCTTTCATACCACAGCCTGGTGAGTAATGAGGTGGGGTGTGTCTTTCTTCCAACTATTCTCCAATTTCTTGTCATCCTTGTAAGGACGCGTCCCCTTGGGCTTGTCGGCAGCTTTCAAGGGACTGTAGGTCTTTTGGAGTATTTGCATGGATGCTGTGTCAGGGCATTTGGCAGATGCAGGCAAAGCCTAGGAGAGGTGGGGTGTCACCAGTGCAGTCATCCCATGGCACTGGTGTGGTGTGGTTTGTGGGTGCACTGTGCAGGGGGAGCCTCATTTTGTCAAAGCCCTGGCAGGTTGCTCTGGGCTTTGATGGTGTGATGGTCATGAGGTGGTGCTCCTTCCATCGCATTCGCTCTCTTCCTGCTTTGCTAAAAGCACTCAAAGCCTATCTTTAGGCATGACCTGTCCTTAGGAGGTGTTTGGATGTTTGTCATCTTGGTGCTCCTGTTTCTTGTAAGGTTTTAATTTGGAAAAATGTCTGTCAGTCTGACCTTGGTGCCTGGAGAGGTTATGGAGGAGATCATCTTGAGTGCCATGACATGTCACGTGCAGGACAACCAGGTGGTCAGTCCCAGTCAGCATGGCTTTATGAAGGGTAGGTCCTGCCTGACCAACTTAATCTGCTTCTTGATAACTAGACCCGCTGAGCCGATGGATGAGGGAAAGGCTGTGGATGTTGTGAACCTGGAGTTCAGGAAAGCCCTTGACACGGTTTTGCACATCCTTCTCCTGGAGAAGCTGCTGTTCATGGCTCTCATGGGCGTAGTCTTCAGTGGCTGAAGAACTGTCTGGATGGCTGTGCCTCTAGAGTTGTAGTGAATGGAGGTAAATTCAGGTTGTTGCTGGTCACCAGTGGTGTTCCCCAGGCCTGAGAACTGGGTCCAGTTCTTTTTAGTATCTTTACCAACGATCTGGACTAGGGGATTGATTGCACCCTCAGTAGGTTGGGAGAGGACACCAAGGTTGGTGGGTGTGTTGGTCTGCTTGAGGGTAGGATGGATGAATGGATCACGGTCAATGGTCTGAGGATCAGAAAGGCTCAGTGCTGGGTTCTGCACTTGGGTCACAACAACCCCAAGAACAGTACAGGCTTGCGGAAGAGTAGCCTCAAAGCTGCCCAGGGATGCGACTGAGTCACTTAGTCCCAGTCTCTGGAGGAATGGAGAAAGGAATAGTCTTGACCCTTGTCCCAACTCAAGGATTCTGGGAGATTATGAAGGCCATGGAGGTAGTGGAGCGGGTTGAGTGCCGGGCCACCAAGATTGTGAAGAGAAGGAAGCATCCTTCGTCTGAGGAGAAGCTGAGAGAGCTCGGAGGCTTTTTCAGCCAGAAGGCAAAGTTGGGCGGGGGAGATGTCATCAATATCTCTGAATCCTGGTTGGGAGGTGTCGTGGTTCGTACCCCTCTGGCAACTAGGTGCAGGCAGCCGGTCGCTCAGTCCCGCTACGATGGGATGAGAAATAGATTCTGAGTAAAAGTGAGAACATTTGTGGGTTGAAATAATAAAGACAGAGAAATAACGAAAGAAAGAGCTGTGCACACAAGCAAAGCAAACCAAAAAACTCCTTCACTATTTCCAATCATGCGGCAGGGAAGCAGGGCTCCTTCACATTTTGTGTTTACATTGGAAGACCAGCATATGAACACAAACGTCCTCCCCTTCTTTTTTTCACCCAGCTTTCTATCTGGAGCATGAGGTCGTACGGCATAGACTATCCCTTTGGTCAGTTGGGGTCCTCTTTCCCATCCGTGTCACCTCCCATCTTTTTGTGCCCTCCCAGCCTACTTGGTGTTGGGGCGGTGTGAGGAGCAGGGAAGGTCTTGAGGGCTTACCAACAACCAGAAGCATTGTTGGGATGTCAACAGCATTTTCATCCCAAATCCAAAACACAGCCCCTACAAGCTGTGAGTAAAAAAGTCAGCTGCATCCCAGCTGAAACCATGTCTGGAGGGAATGAGGAGAAGGAAGTGAGAGTCTTCTCATGGGTGCCCAAGGCCAGGGCAATGGGAGATGGAGAAAGCTGAAACGGTGTGCAGTTTCCTTGGAAGAGAAGGAACCGTTTTTTAATTGTGAGGGTGGTCATAGACTTGAACAGGTTGTTGAGAGAAGTGTTGGAGACCCAATCCTTGCAGATACTGTAAATATGACTGAACATGGTTATGGAGAAACTGCTGTTCGGAGCGCTTCCATGAGAAAAAAGAAATTCAAGACATCTAAGGTTTGGATGCAGGAGAAGTTTATTGAGAGAACAGAGTGTAAAGGTAGGAATGCCAAGTGGAAGGGAGCCGGTCTGAGTTGCAGGTAGAGTGAGCATGAGCTCCAGAAAAGCCGGGAGGTGCGTTGTCAATCCGTGCTGTGGATTCCATGGTGCGAGTGGTTGGTGTCAGAGGTGGTGGCCGATGTCCTTAGCAGATGTTGCAGCCTCTTCCGCCATAGCATCCACCCAGGCCTCCCAAGCCGTAGCCGAAGCCGTAGCCAAAGCCACCGGAGGAGACGGGCACTCCCTGGGCGCTGAGTTCGTTGCCCACGGCAGCCGATGCGGAGGATCCGACGAAGGTGCTCTGGGGGTGGGAGGTGAGGATGGGTCCTGGCAGGGTGACCTGCACGGCGGGAGGCTGGATGACGACGCGGGAGGCCTCACACTGCCTGACACAGGGCTCGTTGCAGCTGTTGGCCAGCGGGGTGGGTCCGCAGGGGCGGCAGAGGTCGTAGCAGGCCATGTGTGTGGTGTGGAGGGTCCCTGGAAGAGAGGGTGTTGAGGAAGGGGAGGGGGCGGCGGGTGTTGGAGGAGAGGGGCGTTGTGGGTGAGGAGAAGGAGGGTGAGGGGGTTGAGGCTCACCTTGTTGAGGGTGGAGGAGAAGGCGTGAGGAGAAGTGTGTGAGGGAGAGAGGCGCTGGGCCGGCTTTTATGCTGGTCCGCGAGGGGCGGGACAGGCTTTGCGCATGTCCACGTTTGGCAGCAATCAGCTCTTTCACACCACAGCCTGGTGAGTAATGAGGTGGGGTGTGTCTTTCTTCCAACAATTCTCCAGTTTCTTGACCTCCTCTTGAGGACATGTCCTCTTGGCCCGGGCGGCAGCTTTTAATTGAGAAAACATATTTGGGAGGATTTGCCTGGGTGCTGTATGTCAGCACACTCTGCAGACACGACCAAAGCGTAGGAGAGGTGGGGTGTCATCAGCATCTTCACTGTAGTCATCCCCTGGCACTGGTGTGGTGTGGTTTGTGGGTACGTTGTGGAGAGGTGCCCCATTTCCTCACAGCCCTGGCAGGCTGGTCAGGGCTTTGATGGTGGATCCGGGCGTGAGGCGCTGCCCCTTCCATCCTGCTCAGTCCTTCCCTGCCTTGATCCCACCTCGCTGAGCCTGTCTTTGGGCCTGGCCTTTCCTGTTGGGTGTTCTCTGTGGGTGTCTTGGTGCCTCTGGTTTGTAAGGTTGTAGCTGGGAGAAAGGAGGCTCCTGTCTGGGTTTGTGACCCCCTGGGGCCACCTGTGTGGGAGGCAGTTGAAGCAGGCAGAGGAGGGGTGTTTTTGAGAGCAGGACATTGTCCTGGCAGCCTCGGGTCAGAGCTCCCAAGCCCTGTGCTGTTGGGAGGGTGGTCATGCTCCCCAAAAGCTTGTCTTGGCCGTGGCGTAGCATTCCCTTTTCCTGTGGCCATCACAATTTAACGTGACAAATCCAAGGAAGAGCATTGAATCTGGTGAAGGATCCAGAGGAAGAGACTTCTGAGGAGCGGTTGAGGGAACTGGGGTTGTTTAGTTTGCAGAACAAGAAGTCTGAGGGGACTCATTATCACACTCCACATGTCCCTGAAAGGAGGTTGTAAGAAGGTGTGTGCCGTTCTTCATTTCCCAGGTAACAAGTGATAGGCCGAGAGGAGAGGACCTCAAGTGGCACCAGTGGAGATTGAGGTTGGATCTGAAGAAAAAGGGCTGTCAAGCACTGGAAGAGGCTTCTGAGGAAGTGGTGGCTCATCACCCCTGGAAATACTGAAAAGCTGTGTAGAAGTTGTGCTTAGGGGCATGTTTTCCTGCTGGACTTGGTCGTGATGGGTTAAGGGCATGACTTGAGGATCTTAAGGGTCTTTTCCAACCTGTCCTCATTCTGGCAGGGATAGGCTTAATTTTCAGAAGGAACTGGAACGGGACACAGGGATTTGATACCACGTGATGTCATGCCCAGTGTAGAGCTGGGTGTGGACTCCAGGGGATGGGCTACGAAATCACAACTTGGGAAGGGGCTGGGGTTTTCTTGGGTCCAGGTGGTGAGTGGTGGTACCTGAATCGTGTTTTGTACGTTCCCCTGTAAGTTTTATTGTTCTTGGTTTCCTCTTTCCTTTGCTGTTCTGTTCAACTGCCTTTATCTCAACCCACAAGTTTTGCCTTTTTTTTCCAATTCCCCCCCACCTTCTGTAGCTGTGGGGGAATGAGAGAGTGGCCACAGGGTTCTTTTTGCCAGCTGGAGTTAAACCACGACACAACTTCCATCATTCTGTGATTTTTGGAAGGCCAGGGACTTAGTGAACAAGTCATGTGAAGGGTCACAAAGACTCTGAATTGAGTGGACCATCCCTCATGTGAGGGAGAAGCTGAGAGATGTTTAACCAGGAGGCAGGGCAGCAGAGGGGAGATGTCATCAATGTCTCTTAATCCTGGGTGGGAGGTATCATGGTATAAACACCATCTTGCAACTAAGAGCACCGTAGTCCCATGCTCACTAGCTTCATGGCGGGATGGGGAGGAGAATCTGAAAACATATCACACTACCAGCTGCTCGTAACACAGTGAAGTCTATCCCAGCTGAAACCATGGCCGGAGGGAATGAGGAGAGGGGAGTCAGAGTCTTCTCATGGGTGTGCGTGGCCAGGGCAATGTGGGATGGAGAAAGCTGAAAAGAGGTGCAGTTTCCTTGGAAGAGAAGGCAACCCTTTGTCAGTGTGAGGATGGTCAAAGAGTGGAAGAGGTTGTGCAGAGAGGTGTTGGAGACTCGATCCCTGGAGATACTGAAAACTTGTCTGGAAGCGGTATGGAGAGACTGTTGTTCTAAGCCCCCGTTGAAAACCAAAGAAACTGCAAGAGTCTAAGGTTTGGATGCAGGAGAAGTTTATTGAGACCAAAGAGTGTAAAGGTAGGAATGCCAAGTGGAAGGGAGCCGGTCTGAGTTGCAGGTAGGCAAGAGGGCAAGAGCCCTCCTATGATATGGATCTCGCCAGAGCAGTGAGGATCTCCAGCCTGCAGTGCGCAAGGAGACATGGAGGTCCCTGGTGAACTTTGCCTTGCCAGGAAGTGGTTGCAGTTGAGAGTAGTGGACATGGGAGAAGGGCCGCTGGAAAGAAGGAGGTGAGAGAAGAGGAGGAGGTCCATGTTTCCAGGCAGCCTGGCGTGGCCCCATTCCTGCTTCCTTGATTGGTGCCTTGTGATGGGGAGCCATGGACAGCAAACCCATGTGCCAGAAAAGCCTTGAGGGGTGTCGTCAATGCATGATGTGGCTCCCATGGTGCGAGTGGTTCGTCTCAGAGGTTGTGGCCGATGTCCTTAGCAGATGTTGCGGCCTCTTCCGCCATAGCATCCACCCAGGCCTCCCAAGCCGTAGCCGAAGCCGTAGCCAAAGCCACCGGAGGAGACGGGCACTCCCTGGGCGCTGAGTTCGTTGCCCACGGCAGCCGATGCGGAGGATCCGACGAAGGTGCTCTGGGGGTGGGAGGTGAGGATGGGTCCTGGCAGGGTGACCTGCACGGCGGGAGGCTGGATGACGACGCGGGAGGCCTCACACTGCCTGACACAGGGCTCGTTGCAGCTGTTGGCCAGCGGGGTGGGTCCGCAGGGGCGGCAGAGGTCGTAGCAGGCCATGTGTGTGGTGTGGAGGGTCCCTGGAAGAGAGGGTGTTGAGGAAGGGGAGGGTGGTGGAGGAGAGGGGCGGTGTGGGTGAGGAGAAGGAGGGTGAGGGGGTTGAGGCTCACCTTGTTGAGGGTGGAGGAGAAGGCGTGAGGAGAAGTGTGTGAGGGAGAGAGGCGCTGGGCCGGCTTTTATGCTGGTCCGCGAGGGGCGGGACAGGCTTTGCGCATGTCCACGTTTGGCAGCAATCAGCTCTTTCATACCACAGCCTGGTGAGCAATGAGGTGGGGTGTGTCTTTCTTCCAACAATTCTCCACTTTCTTGGCATCCTTGTAAAGATGCGTCCCCTTGGGCTTGTCGGCAGCTTTCAAGGGACTGTAGGTCTTTTGGAGTATTTGCATGGATGCTGTGTCAGGGCATTTGGCAGATGCAGCCAAAGGGTAGGAGAGGTGGGGTGTCACCGGTGCAGTCATCCCCTGGCACTGGTGTGGTGTGGTTTGTGGGTTCAATGTGGAGAGGGAGCCTCATTTTGTCAAAGCCCTGGCAGGCTGGTCTGGGCTTTGATGGTGTGATGGTCATGAGGTAGTGCTCCTTCCATCGCATTCTTTCTCTTCCTGCTTTGCTGAAAGGTCTCCAGGCCTATCTTTAGGCATGACCTGTCCTTTGGAGGTGTTTGGATGTTTGTCATCTTGGTGCTCCTATTTCTTGTAAGGTTTTTGATTTGAAGAAATGTCTGTCAGTCTGACCTTGGTGCCTAGAGAGGTTATGGAGCAGATCATCTTGAGTGCCATGACATGGCACGTACAGGACAGCATGGCTTTATGAGGGGTAGGTCCTGCCAGACCAATCTAACCTGCTTCATGATAAGGAGACCCACTGAGTGGATGGATGAGGGAAAGGCTGTGGATGCTGTGAACCTGGACTTTAGTAAAGCCCTTGACATGGTTTCCCACATCCTTCTCCTGGAGAAGCTGCTGCTCATGGCTCTCATGGATGTAGTCTTGAGTGGCTCAAGAACTGTCTGGATGGCTGTGCCTCTAGAGTTGTAGTGAATGGAGGTAAATTCAGGTTGTTGCTGGTCCCCAGTGGTGTTCCCCAGGTGTGAGTACTGGGTCCAGTTCTTTTTAGTATCTTTACCAACGATCTGGACTAGGGGATTGATTGCACGCTCAGTAAGATGGGAGAGGACACCAAGGCGGGTGGGTGTGTTGGTCTGCTTGAGGGTAGGATGGCTGAATGGATCACGGGCAGTGGTCTGAGGATCAGAAAGGCTGAGTGCTGGGTTCTGCACTTGGGTCCCAACAACCCCAGGAACAGTAGAGGCTTGCGGAAGAGTAGCCTCAAAGCTGCCCAGGGATGCGACTGAGTTACTTAGTCCCAGTCTCTGGAGGAATGGAGAAAGGAATAGTCTTGACCCTGAGGGACTCAGTGTAGTGGTGCACTTCTTAGTGTCAGATGAACAGTTGGATGCTTGAGGGTAGGATGGATGAATGGATCACGGGCAATGGTCTGAGGATCAGAAAGGCTCAGTGCTGGGTTCTGCACTTGGGTCACAACAACCCCAGGAACAGTAGAGGCTTGCGGAAGAGTAGCCTCAAAGCTGCCCAGGGATGCGACTGAGTTACTTAGTCCCAGTCTCTGGAGGAATGGAGAAAGGAATAGTCTTGACCCTGAGGGACTCAGTGTAGTGGTGCACTTCTTAGTGTCAGATGAACAGTTGGACTGGTTTTTAAGTGTTGTCCCAACTCAAGGATTCTGGGAGATTATGAAGGCGATGGACGTAGTGGAGCGGGTTGAGTGCAGGGCCACCAAGATTGTGAAGAGAAGGAAGCCTCCTTCGTCTGAGGAGAAGCTGAGAGAGCTGGGAGGTTTTTCAGCCAGAAGGCAAAGTTGCGCGAGGGAGATGTCATCAATATCTCTGAATCCTGGTTGGGAGGTGTCGTGGTTCATACCCCTCTGGCATTTATGTCCACGCAGCCAGTCACTCAGTCCCCCCACGATGGGATGAGAAATGGATTCCGAGTATAAAGTGAGAACATTTGTGGGTTGAGGTAAAGACAGAGTAATAACGAAAGAAAGAGCTGTGCACACAAGCAAAGGAAACCAAGGAACTCCTTCACTATTTCCAATCGTGCGGCAGGTGTTCAGCCATCTCCAGGGAAGCAGGGCTTCTTCACAAAATTTTGTGTTTACTTTGGAAGACCAACATCATGAACACAAACGTCCTCCCCTTCTTTCTTTTCACCCAGCTTTCTATCTGGAGCATGAGGTCATATGGCATGGACTATCCCTTTGTTCCGTTGGGATCATCTTTCCCAGCAGTGTCACCTTCCACCTTTTAGTGCCTTCCCAGCCTACTTGCTCTCGGGGCAGTGTGAGGAGCAGGAAAGGTCTTGAGGGCTTACCAACAACCAGAAGGATTGATGGGCTGTCAAGGGCATTGTCATCCCAAACTAAAACCCAACACCCTACCAGCTGCGAGTAAGAAAGTCA